TATTATACCTGAAAGATAAATGTTTCTTGCCAAATAGGATTTAAGGAATTTTTAACTGATGATTTTGTTTTTCTTGACATACAATCAATTGGAATACCAACAAGTTCAACTTCAATATAAACACTTGATGTTGAACTAATATTTTGTGTTAAATATTGACCAGATATTATCTAAATAATAACAACTAATTTATAAATAAAATATATTTCATTATTTAACTAACAGTAATTGTTAATTCAAAACAAGAACCTTCACGTTCAATTATTGATGGATTAAAACGATTATATTGTGGATGTTCTTTATCCCAATAAACATTTGGTTTAAGAACATAACCACAATTACCATTTTGTTCGAACATTGATAAATTAAGAATTTGTCCAGCATCTTAAAAATAAAAAGAAAAAAAGAAAAAGGAATTTTTTTTCTCTATGAAAACAAACAAAAAAAAAATATTTATTTATTAACCAAGCGTTTGATAATTAGTTGCAGCCAATCTAAAATAATTAACATTAAAATAAATATATAAGATAAAATAAATATTAAACATACTGAATTCCATATATCCATAAATGTAATGGATTGAAATTTGATGAATCAACACGAAATCCACTTGGATAACATCGAACAAGTTGACTTTCCGTATGTCTATATATATAAATATATATATATATATATATATATATATATATAATATAAATAGAATTAATTACGCAATCATATCAATGCCTTGATTTTTACATAATTTTTTTGCTTTATTTTCAATTAATGATACAACTTGATGACAAGGTGATACTTGATCAACTGATCGAGAACTTTCGGTACCTGTTTTTTGTTAAAATAATTCAATAAATATTATTTTATATTATTATATTATAGTTGAATTTTTTACTTGTTGTACTTGGTTGAGCAACAAGTTGTTGAATATTACGTTTAGGAGTTTTTCTAACAGATTTTATACCAATTGAACTTGCTGAAATCGATGAATATGTCAATCCTATTCAGATTATTCAACACATTTACAATTAAATCATTTTTCAAACAAATAAATATCATTAGACTTTTCTTTTTTTTTTTCTTTTTCTTTTATGTTAAACTTTCGATTAATAGTTCGAACAAATGTTTAAAATCGTAAAAATAATTCACTTATCTTTGGACCAATATTTTCAATTAATGAATAAATAAATGTTGAACATAGAAAATAGTTATTCGAAAGAGCAAAATATTTTTCTTAATATCAAAAAAACTTTAGTAGAAATACAAAACTTTTCATTGATTAGAATATTTAAATATTGTTCAGTTTTTCAACATACAATCATTCTATACTGTATTTATCAGGTTAACAATCAATATTAGAAAACAATTCAAAACAATAAATCTAATCAGTTTTTAATGTACGCGTAGACGAAAAACAAAAACATGACACACTAAGAGTGATACAAGAGACGATAACTGTCTGAATGTTGTAGAAAATAGAATTATAATCAGAATTAAATAATTATATAAAATACATTATAATTAAATTTTTTTTTCTTTTTTTTTTGTTATAAATTCACTATTCAATTTATAAATCAATTTTGAAAAGTTTTTCCTAATCAATTATTTATTTGAAAATAGTTTGAAAACTAATCGATAAAATCACTGTTAAATTGATCGTCATTGTGAATCATCAAATTATCTTAGGATAATCTTAGCAGAAAAAAACAAAACAAAACAAAACAATGAATGAATAATAATTGAGATGAATTTGAAAAGAGTAATATTCATATTCATATTCATATAATGAATTCATTTATTTAATTATTATTATACTCAATAAACTGTAGAAATAATATGAGAATAAAATTTTTAGTGAACTTCATATGACTGATCATATATTATATATAGAGAAATTAAATCGAATTATTCTATTGATAATTCTCATTTTCCTATTTACTTTGTCTTATTATACTATTAATAAATAATTGAATAGAATAGAATAGAATAGAATAGAATAGAATATTTTTTCAATAATCTTTCATATTATTAATAATGACTAATGACTAATGATAATAATTGTGCATCAATCTTTCACTAGTAATAAATTTTTTTGAGATAAAATATAAAAATACCCAATAGATATATTTAAATAGAAAATATAATTATTATGATACGGACAAATAATAATAGTTTACTTTACTAGTTAATTTAAATAATAATTATGTTTATTTTCTTTCTACAATAGAGAATGAAAATATTTTAATGATATCATTTTTTTTTATTTCGATCTATAATATTTAATATTTAGGAAAATCTCTATTTGAAATAAATAAATATTATTTTTATTCTCGAATTTAGATAAGTTTTTATATCTTGTTTTTTCTTATATATTATATCTGATAAATATTATTTATCCTATAGATACTTGACATTTAAAATTGATTATATAAGAAAAAAAAAAAGAAGCAAAGTAACTTATATTATAAATAAAATTCTATAAATAATTGTTTAAGAAAGTTCTAACCTCGAAATTTGATAGCTTGTGTATAAATAACAATATCTGATAATTCTTTTGCTACTAATACAGTTGGAATTTTTGCAATAAAATTAGCTGATTTATTTGCTTTAATAATATGATTATTATCAATTGAACTTATACTTTTCAAACGTTGTCGTGGTTCATTATTCATAATACTATAACGACGTTGTTGATATGATCTTAATAAAAAAATAAAAAATAAAAAATAAAAAATAAAAATAAAAAAAAAAATAAATATACAAATCTTCATCATGATCTCTATAAACAGTTGTATCAATATTATTTTTATTAAAATGATAAATAGGTGAATCAGTCATTGAATTTGATCGTTGTGATTGTTGTCTATTATATTGTTCATCATTAAAATCCTCAATAATAAAATCATCATCAGAATCTTCATCTTCTTCATTATCATCAGGTGATGAATAAACAGAATTTCTATAATTAACAGTTAATTGAATTTTTTGTTTTCCTAATTGTGTTGTTGAATGAATTTTAGTTATTTTTTTATTTTTAATTAATATTTTATATTTTAATTGATTTGGTGATGGTAATAATGAATCTTCATTAAAATCACTATCAAATATATATTTTCTTATTAATTTATCACCAAATACTTTAACAAATGTTTGTGCCATATGTCTTTGTTGTATTAATGAACAACGATTTTCAATTGATAATATAACTGGATATGGAGATGTTAAAAATGCACTTTCATTAATTACTTCAACAACTAATTTAAATGATATTTTACTAACAAATGTTCGTCCATGATAAATAACTGGATAACCATCATCACCATCCCAACAATCAAGTTCAATACAACGACAACCAGATAAAAGAACCTTTATTTATTCACATATTAAATAAAATAATTATTTTGTTTTATTAAAACAGAAAAAAAACTAAACTTACTTCACGATACATTTCAACTGAAGATTCACCACGTAATTGATGTCCTGTTAGATAAGTATTATGAGATGAAGCAACAAAATAGTATGATAAAGGATAATCCATTTCCTAATTTCAAACACAAATAAAAACATATCAATTAAACATTTTATTTGTTATTAATTTTTCTGTTTTTTTTAGTCATTACTTGTTCATTGACTTTTGTATGTTCATTAATAAATGCATAATTTTCTTTATCCAAAAGATAACGTGAAAAACCTTCGAATGAAAGAACTTTATTCAAACGATTTTCTCTATTAGGTTCATGACGCTAAAAAAATAAACAAAACAACAATAAAATTAATTTTTTTATTAACAAAATACTATTTTCAATATTAAATTAAATATTTTTTTCAAATATATTTATCTCATATCTAGACTTTAAAAACATTTACAACGACATATTTATCATACTAGAAAATATCAAACATTTTTATCTCTTTGATAGATCTTTATAAACGAATTATCATCATTTATTTAGATATTTATTCAAAAATTAAATAAAAAAATTTCATATTTCATATATTACTCCTAGATAAGTTTAATTATCTATAGAATAATTATTCGAAAAATATATTCGTTTTATTTAGATATTAAATTTTAAAATAAATTCAACATTTCTATTATAATATCTCTAACAAACGAGTTTTTCTTCTTGAAATTCAATATCGAAATAAAACGAATATTCTTTTCGAATTTAACTTTCACGATACTCTACAGATTATTTCACATCTAAATATATACATATTCATTGAATAAACTAAATCAACTTCAAAGATTCGTTCATGCAGACAAATACTTTTACGTGTTTTTTTTTCAAGTCTTATTAATATGTTCTTAAACATATAAAATATTATCTCAAACGAATGTCTGTTATTAGTTCAACTGGTTACAGTCTCAATAGTATATATACTCATAAATAAATCACTCTTCATCAATAATTGTATAAATATTTATTTTATTATAGAAATCTCTTCAAATCTGAGCAGATTTATATTAATCTCTGTTGCAAAAGTCTTCAGACAAAACTATTTCGTTTAGTTTTTTTTTTTTTTTTCGAAAGACAAGTTTTCATTTTCTAGTTTTTTCATGAAAGGAATCTACTAATATTAATATACAGAAAATCGACAGAAATAACAAGCTCGATAATATCCTTTATCAGGAATTCGTCTAACTTGCTTCCATATATCCGAAAACATAACTTGTACAAATTTGATATCAAGTTCTTTTAATTTTTTCACAATTCTTTTCTTTAATTGATCGATGCTTGTTGCTTCTAATAACCACTGTCATACATCATTTGTTCAAGAATTTACCAAAGCGTTTTAATGTGTCGAGCTTAGGGACAATTCTATGGATTATCTTATTCAGATAAAAAATGAACGTCATTTTCGTCCAAATATCCCATCACTTTAAGATCACAATGACATCGACCTAAATCAGTCCAAAATAACATATTCTTTTTTTATAATGATACTTGTCGATAAATGCCATGACGTGAGCTTTGATACATTCATTTAAGTACCTAATTTACATAACAGCTTGTTGTTGCTTTGAGAAGAGTAGCGTTGAGATAACATTTTCGTATTTAGAAATCCATAGCAAAATTTTTGGTTCAAATTTTTTTGTACATTTCAATTTGACTTGTGGTGATGCTGCACTTGAATTCGATTTAGAAAAATCATGATTAGCCGATATGGATTCATTGTGTAACGAAAAATATTGTTCATTATTCAACACCAATTAAAAATTATTACTTGGCAATGTTCTGTATAATCGTTGTGCACGTCTTGAAAATTATTTGAGTTGTTTGTCGGTGTATTTGGGTGGGCGTTTTTTTTTCTCGATACATTATACTCATATATAGCTTTCAAATGCCAACTGATTGTTGAAATATTGACATAAAATTATGAAGCAATTTGACGCAACAAAATACGAGTCTTCTGATCAGTGAATCGATGTAACAGAGTTAATTGCCGTTTCAATAATTTGTTAAAACGACCAGTTCTGGGTTTGTCATCAATAATACCAGATTGTTCCAACTTTTTCATAATACTATATATACTTTGACGTTGAATTTGTTCTTGTGAAAAATGATTAATAGTAATTTTCTTTTGACGATTGGTAATGTGTACGTAATGTTGTAAAATGCGTTTTGCTAGATGTTTTCTTTCTGAACGTGCCATTTTGATTTAAAACAAAATTCCTAAAACTTATTGTACATTAAATTGAAGCTCTTTTTTACTCGCTATGACATGACGGAAAAAAAGAAAAGAAAAAAATGATCACGCTAACACAAGATATATATATAACAAATTTCTCTGAAGACTTTTGCAATAAGGGGTTAGAAATATGCAAAAATATTGTTTTCGATATAGAGATAATATTTAATAATTGTTTTTATGATGAAAGAGTTCAAACTATGGTTTATTTATAACTATATGAAATAAGCATAGAACGATTGAACAATACTCAATCTGATTTAATTTAGAATCAATTTTAGACTTGGTTATATATCGAAATCGAATGTTTTCGTTGGTCGATATCTATATATTTAATAATGTAAATTCGTTCTCCGATGAAGATTTAATTCTATTTATATAATTATTTGTAAGTTCTTAAATTAAAGGTAGGACTAATAAAAATTATATCATGTCAATGGATTTTAGTTTTAATAGGAAAAATCTATTTTTTATTTTAATTCTCTTTACATAAATATACTTGTGTTTTGTAATTCTGCTTTGAAAAAAAAAGACACTTGATAATTATACTAACTGAGTCATAATGAATAAAACATATAAGTAGCAAATATATTTTCTAAAAATCGAAGTATAAATACTTCGTACTTATTTAAAAGTGTAAATAGTTTTGATTATATATATTTGTTGTAAAGTTATTTTTGGTGACTTACATAAATAATTTGTTGAATATGATATAAAGTTTTATCTTCTTTTTGATGTTCTATTAAAAATTGTCTAAATAGTTCAATTGTAATAAGATAATTGTGAGGTGTATGTGTACTAATAGCATAAGAAGGTATTGATGATATAGCAATCATATCATAAATTCTATTTTTATTATAATCATTTATATTTTCAATAATATTTCTTGTTATTAAACCTGTTAAATGTCTTTGCATATCTAATAAATCATATTTATATTGTTCTTTTATTGTATAATCTTGTTCAATATTTATTTCTAATGAAAATTTATCAAATAAATCTTTTAAATCTCGTCGACAATGAAAATAAAATGATTTAAATAATTGAACAAATTCAATAAAATTCATTGAAGTTTCATTTATAATCCATGGTGATGATGATTGATCATTATTATTATTTGCTGATAAAAATCTATTATTTGTACGTTTATTATTAATTGAATTATTTAATGAATTAGTTGATATTGTTGGACGATAATATGTTGAACGACTATTTGTCGAAGTAGATCGTTTTTTAATTTTAATTTTATTTTTATTTTCCATAGATGAATTTTGATATTTAACAGTTTGAAAAACAAGAGATGATTTTGTTTTATATTTAACATTTTTAGCTTTATTACGTAATGATAAATGTGAATTATTTTGTGCATTTTTTGATCCCGATGATGATTCACATTCACCAGATAAACTTCCTTTACGATCCTAAATATAATTATTATTTTCTTTTTTAATTATATAATAATTATTAATTCATTAATAAACGAATCAATTTAATTATTATTTATATAATCATATTAAACTATCTTAATTAATAGTTAAGAAAAGAAATTTTCTAAATTAAATAGAATCATTAAAAAAAACTAAATCCTAATTCTTAATAATATTAAATAAATTAAATTTTTCAAATAGAAAACTTATATATTGTCATCAACTCATTCAATATAGTTTTATTAAATATAATCGATTATATATAATATCAATGCTAATATATTCTCTATATCAATAGTCATATAAACATTATGAGAAAACTATTCGAATTTATAAACATTCTTTTAGATCATATGGAATTTATAAGAATGTCTGACTCAAACTAAAACTCAATCATTAGCAACGGAACTTCGCAAAATAAAAATATTTGTGTATCGGGATGATGATCTTTCTAACATATTATTTTTATATATTGCAACAACATTAAGTTACTCAAGATATCCTCAAAAAAAATTAGTTCTTTTAGGCTTTTTTCAGAGAAATTATCAGTAACAAAACTAACGTTAGCGACATAATACAAAAAAGGACATGGATTTTATTTAATGTATTTTGCTTTTTAAAAAGTTCAAATTTTCATAGGCAATTTTAGAAAAGTAAATCTGGCCATTTGCGTAGACGACTTCTGAGGCTATAAAATCTGTATGAAAAATTTATTCAGAGCATATGTCTAAATTTTTCAGAAAAACCGATTTATTTATCGTTAGCAATGTGACCTAGTACGACGACTAAACAGCTGAGCAAATGCTCTTCTAAACAACTGAGAAGTTTAAAATCAACTTCAAACATTATCAAATCATTACTTAGACTTTCTAGATGATCATTAGAAAACAATTTTCATTTCTGCACTTTTTAGGATCTCTAGAGAACAGATTTTTCGGAAGAAATTTTCTTTTACTCTAATCTTACTGAAAATTTTACTGTAGATGCAGCTCGTGTCTAAGAGTCTATTATGAATTTTTCACATGTTTTCTTTTTTTTTTATTCTCGTTAGAGAAATATTCGCTAATTACTTTTAAATTAATTAATTTTAATTAATAACAATGTGAAAGAACAAACATTTTTATATAAGTCAATGCTAAAATAATTGATAAAAAAAAAAAAATTCCTTCTTATAGAGAATAAAACTCAAATCTAATCTATAAATGTGTCATTTTGTCTTATTTAGTTCATATAGATTTATATATTAAAACAAATCTAAAATTAATTATTTTAATAATATTATTTATAAATTGAGATAAATATATATTTGAAATGTAAAAATTTAAATAAAATTAAAAAAAAAAAAACTCTACCTGTTCAAATTTATATCGTTTTCTTAAAGCTAAATTGGACCATGATTTAATAAAATTCGAAGATTTTTTTGATGATATATTATCACGTTCATAAGTAAAAAGTGATGTTGAATTCCATTGTCGTCCACCAAATAAAAGTACAGCATTCATTGGTGTTGGACCTTGAAAACGTTCATTTTCATAATAATATGATAAATATTGATTTTTAAGCCAATTAACACGTCTATCACTACATAAACGATGTTTACCATATTCTTTTATTAATTTATCTATACTTGAATACCAAATTGGACAACTATATTTTGGACTTATAAAACAAAGACTTCTACATATAAAATAAATATTATTATTATTATTATTTTTATTTAAATTAAATTTCAAAGAAAAATTTACTTATTTTCACTAATTGATGCTCCATAAATAATAGTAAAACAATTTTCTGGATTTGTTATATCATTTAATTTATAACGTTTTATAATAGGAATAAGATCACAATGAATAATACCAGTTCGAATATGTTTAACATATTTTAATTGTATAAAACCTTGATCAATATCAATAAAAGCAACATCACCTAATATATAACGTTTAATTAACATTGAATAATCTAAACATCCATTTGATACATCTTCATTTAAATTAACATTTTCAATTGTTCGATCATTATCCCAACAAGGTTTTCTCCTGAAACAAAAAAAAATAATTAAATTNCTTAAGTATATTGGTTTTTTTCGAGCTGTGAAAAAGTAAATTTTTCTTATTGAGGTCAATAGTGATACTTAACAAAGAGTCTTCCTCTAGACATGTCTTTATGGATATAAAGCTGATACATGCCTCTGTCACTGGTGAAGAAATCAGCTCCTTTGCTTGAGCTGTACAGGAGATATTCAATTTTTACTTCGGTTGCGTTAATTATGGGCCACCCTGTACTTATCAATAGTCTTTAATTTTTAACGAAAACTCTCCATTTCTCATAAAATCCATTAGAAGTATCGAAAAAAATCAGTAATTAATCGCTAAATTTGTGACCTTTTTCGAAGATGAATATAGAAATAGTTGTCGAGTTGATGGCCGAAAAGCATGATGGTATCATTTTAAAATATTATCAATAATACGATTTTTGAGATGAAGATATGAAGTTAAACAAAATGATCAAGTTTGATCTTATTCGAATGAAGTCGATGTTATTGTCCTACGCTTTCAAAAACATAAAACATATTCTTATATAGTTATTCTAAGTGTTTTTTGTCTATATGTTGAAATATATTATTGAAATGAGAATTGAAAAAGAATAATTTTGTTAAATAATCTATAATATAGGAAACGATGGATTTATATTTGTATATTTAACGAATAAAACGATTGAGTCCACTCGTTGTCACACTGTATAATTACATATTCGACTGTAAATAGATTGTAAAAAAATGATCTATTGATTATTTAACGGAATAAAATACATTCTTTATATATCATTATTTATTCTCTGTTAAGATAAAAAATCAATTTTAATATTATTGAATATGTTAGAATATTAGCTAATGTAAATATGATTTATCGAAAAAAAAGAAAAAAACTTGAAAATCTTATTTTTCAAACGAATAATTATATTCAAAATAGAATTCTATAAAATTAATTTTTTTTTGGTTTTTTTTCTTTAAATATTTATTGAAAACACATTTTTATTTAATTATACAATTTTAAGTTTGATTATTATAATATTTTTGTTTATGATCAATTGCATAATAAGTATTCGTCAAATATGATCAACAATCATAAAAAACGAGTGATCAATCAAAACTGAAAAAAAAAAGAAATAAGACGATTTCTAATACATCACAATAAATAAAATCGAACATAACGACAATAAGAATGCATATATGATATCAATCTACCGTACGGACTTCAAATTGTGATCAGTTTCATATATGAAAAGATTTTATTACATTTCGAATAAATAAGTTTTTATTCATCAATCACTCAAGATATTTACCGATAAATCATAGATTTAAATAACATTAACTGTCACAATTTTTTTCTTAATCTTATTTTTATTATTATTTTTAAAATATTTTTTTAATTCGAATATATTATTTTGATTGTTCGATTTTTGTTCATATAAACTCACAAAAACAATTTAAATACATTTAAAATAAAACAAAAAAAGAAAGATTCCAATGAAAATAATGAATTGATGAATGTATATAAAAAAAAAAATACATTTTTCTAAAACAATTCGAAATAAAATATTCAAAATCGATGGTGACTAATTTATTGTTGTTATAGGTACAAATATTTTCTATGGTTTTAGTGGTTAATTATATCAATCGATAAGTTAAACATAAATATTTTTTTTTTCTTCTATGAGAAAAAAAAGCGTCTTTGAATACAATCGATTGTTATCTTAGAAACAAAATATAAATAAGCAATATTATCTAAACAATCATATTAAATCGTCCATCGATTCTTTCTATATTATCTATGATTGATGAGGAAATCGGTCAAGCGTGTAACACGTGTATATACATATATATATATATATATAATATCTGTATGCAAATGATTATGACAATAATAATCCATTGTTAATCGAAAACATACTATTCGTAAAGAGCATTGAGGTGTAAACTTCTACGTATTCTCTTCTTTTGTCTTCACTATATACATATTTATCTGTGTATATTAATCATTATAAAGCTGAATTAAACCATCGACAAACTTATTATTATACCACATTTATTTTTTGTTTTTTCTTAAACTCGGTATGTATTTTTATAAAATTTTGAATTATTTAAATATAGACATGTTAAAATAATCAAAAGATTATTATTATTATTATTATAGTTAAATTATAGAATATATTATCTTTTTTGTTTTTTATTTTTCCTATAAATATATTTTTCGATATTATAGTGAGTTTAAAAATAAAAAAAAAACTAACTGACTATATATATTTCAATAGTTCAACATTAATATATAATTAAATATTATATATCTTTTATTTACATATTATATCGAATTTATTATGAAATTTATTAAGAAGATTTTTATTGTTTCATCGATTGAACAAAGAAAAAAAAACAAAAAAATTATATTTGTTTTTTTTTTTGATTGGTATTAAATAATCTATAACAAATTAAAATTTCTCTAAACTAAATATTCAATATCGATTAAAGTTTTTCTATGATTTTTATTTATAAACTTATTATTTTTCATGAAAAAACCAAAAAAGACATTTGATATATTTTATACAGATAGATAAACGAAACCAATCATAATAATGCATTAGTAAAAGTAATTCAAGGTGATTTTCCATTGTATGGACATATTCTATACATTATGAATATGTTTTATAACATTGTAACATTGACATGCTAATATAACTAATTCTATCCTTGATATATTATTCTCGATAAAGACATTAATAAAAGGCATAGAACGATTTGTCTATATTTGATTATAAATATGTATCCTATATCATCAATACCCTATGCTTTTAATAAAAAATCAACAGGAAATTTCATACATAATTATGATACTAAACAAAATCAAAATCAAAATCAATATCAATATCAAAGGCACAAGCAAAAACCAATAGAACAAACAAATATTGAAACGTCAAATTTATTTCGAAATTATCAATCAAACCGAAATCAATTTTTTTATTCATCATTAAACAATAATTCTATTGGAAATAATCCATCAATATCATATAAAAGTGAAAGGTCTTCAAAAGCTCGTATGTCTTATAAATATAAATATAAATAAATATAATAAAAATATAATATTAACTTAATTAAGGTACAATTAATTCTATTTTATCAAGTCATTCTAATCAAGATCAATTTTATTCTAAACATAAACAATCGAATTCAGAAAATCTAACAATTAAACATAATAATAAACCATTAACTAATTCACGTTCAACTGGAGCTTTACAAAATCGTATTCATAAAGAACGACGATCTCATACAATGGCTCCATTATCTAGAATATTAGGACCATCTTCAACTCCAAAAGCTAAATTATTTGCTAGTATTATTGCACCCACTGATGCTCAAGCTATTAAATCAAGTCAATTAACAGAAGATCTATCAAATATTGAATCAATTTATCGTTCGAAAACAGATATTGATATGACAGATGATGATATACCAATTATTGTTAAAGTTGAATATGATCCTGAAACTGGTTATCCAAATGAAGATATTATTCGACAAGCTGTCAATAATAGATTAAATCAACTTTCTAATAACATAAATCATCAACAACCAATTGTTTTCAATTTTCGTGGACCAAGTATTAAGCCAAACGTGTCTGTTAGAGTACAACAACAACAACAACAACAACAAGTTTATAATAAAGGTGATCAATCTGTTGAAGAGCATCCATCTATTCGTATTCCTGTTTTTTCTCAAGAAAAACAAGAAGAAAATTATGAAGAAAATGATTTTATTCGATCAAAATTATCTCGATCATTAAATAAATATCCATCAATACATTCTGTCCATAATTCATCTCATCCTTTTCAAAATAATCAAAATATAAGTTCAGTACAAATTTCCAAACCATTAATAAATCGACAAGAAGTTCAATCTAATAAAATGCAACAATTACCTAATCAAAATATAATTTCATCACGAGCTAACGAATATGATAAAACAGGTTCTTTTTCCCATTAATTATAATTTAATTTTAATTATTATTATTGAAGAAAAAAAAAAGAAATTTCTAAATTATTATTTAAATATAATATTTATTTTAGAATTTGATTATTTCAAGACAAATAATATCAAAATGTCAGGTCAACAATTAAGAATAAGTGATCAAGAAATTCTCTCAAGAATATCATATACAGGTCCCCCTTCAAATGAAATATTTCGACCATCATCAGTAACAGATACACCAGAATTAAGTAGAGAAAATTTACTTAATATGCTTAAGTATTTAATTATATAGAAACAAAAATCTTTTTTTTAATTTTACTTTGTTTTTCTCTTATAGTCAAATACCTGATTTACAAGGTCGTCGATTTAATATTGAATATGCCGCAAGTGGTGCACCTGAAGGTTATCCAATTCCAATTCATTTAGGTTCTGCTGCAAATTCCTATCCTGAACCAGTTTATATTGATAGATTACCAAATGATGTTATTCAACATGTTAGAGGTAGCAATAATACAGCTCTTACAGCTGCATTAGAAGCAACTATTCAACGAGAACAATATATACAATCATCAAATTTATCTCAACCATCAACTTCATCATTAAATTATCAACCACCAACTGTAATACATCATGCAGCACAACCTTATGAACAAGTTCAACAATCTCGACCATTATCAACAAAAAATTCTCATAAAACTAGTGAAGTATCTTCATCTAATTCATCATCATCATTATTATCATCCTCATCATCATCAACTGAAGATACTGATAGTGAAGATTTTGAAAGTGTTCCATTAGCAAGAGTAATATTCATTTTCTTTTATATATTTTTTTTTTTTATTTTTTATTTTTTTTTCTAGTCAACAAATTCAATTCGAAATGTTGGATCATATTCATCAAACTGATTTATTTCAAATGAATATCGTTAAATTAAAACATAAAATCTGTTCTTTAATGAATTCGTTGGATTAGTTATTCATTATCTTATTTAAATCATTCATTCATTTATTCATTTTCTTAATTACTCTCCTTACATAAAGACAATAGACGAGTATTATATATTCAACTCGATAATTAAAATATTCATCAAGTTTTCTTTTCTTTTCTTTTCTTTTCTTTTTTTTTTCTCTTTTTATATATTTTTCTTTATCTTCTATTATTAAAACAAAATTTATCGAACAGTTTTAACAGCTAAATCAATATGTTCATATCAATATAACAATATATATTAACTAACTAATTATTTATCTTATTTTAAATTAATATTAACACATATTTTATCTAAAAAACCGTATTGAAAACAAAACACATATCTCTTCTTTTATAAATCTTACAAATAAATATGTGAATAATAAATATAAGATTACATTTTCATCATATTATATTTTAACATATTAAAGAGTTTATCAAATTCTATAAATATCCTATTTATATAAAACAATTATTTTTCGAATATTTTTTTCAAATTATATACAATCATATATCAACTAAATAACATTCATATCAAATAATTCCAATAAATTTAGTTTAATTTAGTCAAAGAAACTATATATTTTTCATAATAATCATCGATTTTAAATTATATTTTTCTATCCATTAAATAAATAAAAGTTCATTTAATTATGACGGTTCTACTATAATAAATATATAATATTAAATATGATTTAAGAAAAAAAAAAAATAAAAAATAAAAAATGAAATGAAATCAATCTTTATTAAAAAGAATATATTATTAAATTTGTTTTAAACTTTATATTTATGGAAATATCAAACAATAAAAAAAATATATATTCAAGATTTAGTCAATATATATATATATATCAATGTAATATTAACAATAAAATAAATATTTATTTATACATATTATTATATGAGATTAAAAATGAATATTTAGATTAATATTAATTAGATTTATCCTTTTAAGAAGTTTATCTTAAATTAAATTTGTTTATTAAATATAATAATCATACTTTAAAATAATGTCCAATTGAATAATATTAAATAATACTTAAATAATAAGTCTCTTATATCACACATTAAGTTTTTCATGTATTTTATTTATTAAAACTCTAAAAATATTTCAACATATTCTACTTTTGACTTATTCAATAAATATTCTTATTATAAAATTAAATCTATTTTTTTTCTATCCTATTTATCTAATTAGTTTTCAAAAAAATTTTATATACCGAACAAAATCAATAATTATATTAATATACATAGATATTCTTTATTTTATTTTTTTATCATATTATTCATTAACATATATTTAAACGATTATCTACACAGATTTATTCATTTTTATTAATCTCTATAACAAGGTGACCCGACAGTTGAGCTCCCGACAATTGAGCCCCGACAGTTGAGCCCCGACAATTGAGCCCCCGACAGTTGAGCCTCCCGACAGTTGAGCTCCCGACAGTTGAGCTCCCGACAATTGAGCCTCATATCAAGAAAAAAGTAAAGTAATAGAACAAGATAATTTTATTTGAATAAATCTACAC